ATGACCATGGGACACATGTAGTAGAGCCCTGCGGTATATACCCATAATACCCTTTACATACCTCTATTATGACAAGCACTATACTATAATTACTTGTTTACTAGTCTCCTTTCTGTATCATTGTAAGACTGTCAAAAATAAGCAGTAAGTTTTATTCCTCACCATAACAGTATACACAGTGCCTGGCACATATCAGACACTGGATACTGAATTGGAAAAAAGGAAAACATAAATACCCACATGGAATTCAAGAGAAAAGATAAGGCTAGAGTATTATTAGCATGCAATAGAAAGCTATAACTGTGTTAGCTAATGAGATAGGGAAAAGAGGGACAAAAATGAAATTTTTTAAATAAGCAGAAGAAAAAGAACCTAAATGAGGCCTAGAAAAAGATAGAGGTAGAAAATGGAAGCAAAAAGATAAGAGTTTCAGAATAAGGAAATGGGTGGCATTTTCATTTACTTCAGCTGGTAGGAGTAAGATGAGGACTGAAAGGATTCTTTGAGTTTTGCAAATTGTGCTATTGTTGCTTTTTAAAAGAAGAGATTCAGTGAAGATTGGTGAGAAGAAAGGGTCAGATTTTTGGAAGGGGCTGTTCAGTGAGAGTAGGGAGTCCCGTTGAAGTGGTAGTGGTAGAGACAGTTAATACTACTCCTTTAAGAAGAATGTCTCAGGAAAACCAAGGAAATAAAGGTGAACCAAGCTCTGGACTAGTGTCTGGGCATTAGCACATTTTGCCTCTAGCATGTCAAGTTCAATTAAGAGTATCACCCATGCCTCTTTTATTAAGCTAGGTGGGTCATGTACAGGGAGGTGGTTTTTGTCTCTGCTAGCTGCACATTAGCAAATCCATGCCACTGCAAGTTCCCTATTTCTGTTACTGCTCAGAATGATGTTAGTAGCTAGAAACAATATAAGTATCTGATAGTACTCTGTCCCCCCCCCAAAAAAGTTCAAGTTTTTAAAAGGTAAAATTCGATTATCTAGGAGCCTACTGCTATTGAAGGACTGTCAAAAGAGTTTTTGTCTTGGCCAGTTCATTCCATTTCACTCTCCATTAGCTGGATGTAGAGTATTGAAGAGGAGATGGAGAATGAATGTGACTCTAGTCAACGTATTGAGACGCATTTTATGTTATATTCTTTGCAGTATAAAATTGTCACTTATGGCACAGAGCAGTCAATTTGGGCAAAAAGTTTATAAAGAGTTTTGATGTCATAAGACTAATTTTCAATAAAAATCTAATGAACTTGTATATGTCTATAAGAATATTAATAAAAGCAATGAAAGAGTAGATGTAATGAAAACAAAGCGTAATTGAACTTTTGGATGTGATGCAGGAGGCTGCATAAATGAACAAAATTTGATCTATCATGTCAAGTGGCTTGACTTTATTAAAAGAGATGTAGAGAAGGAAATATCCCTGAATGTGCACTCATCAACGTGACCCTGTTGGTAATTAGATGTAACAAGGGTCTAGGCTCATCACTTCCTTGAAAGAGACAAGCTGTGAGTGCCTACTAAACACTGGAGTGTTCATATGTACATTATCTTATTTAAAATGAGATAATAGTCCTTATTTTATCTTACAGAATTACTAGGATGATAAAATGAAATAAAGAATGTATGCATTTTATTCCTGTCTATTATACGTAGATAAGGCAGTTGTATTGGAAGTATTCTTTTGCATTTATTTAGATATAAACAAATTGCAATGTCAAATGAGTCTGTTATCTATTTGCCTCAATGTTTCCTAATTTGGATTACTTAAATCAGTTAATATCTGTTAATTCGAATTGGAAGTTAGTTTTTGAAAAGCTGTAATTATTGGGTGCTTATAATTTTCTATATGTATTGTTAAATGCTTTATAGATATAGTCCTTGGTAATTTTTACAATAGGTCTTTTAGATAGTGTAACATTTTCTGTTACGGAAACTGAGGGTCAGCTCATACTATTAGTAAGTAGTAGAACCAGTACTCTAACTTGGATTTTTCTTAACTCCTCATTGTGTGCTTCACCATCACACATATGACTGCTGTTCTTATTGTCAATTTATAAAAGGTGGTCTTACCTTTTCATTGGGTGGCTCTTGCTCTTTTCCATCTTTATTTGCCATTTACCCTACTTTAATAAATAGTTGAGCACCTACTATGTGCCAGGTATTGTTCCAGGTGCTTGGGGTATAGCAGTTAATCAAATACAAAAATTCCTGCCCTCATGAAGCTTAGGTTCTAGTTTACATGATACTTAAAAACAAATTACTAAAATGTAAAAGTGTGTCAAGTGGTTATAGGTGCTGTGGAGAAAGGTAGAAAGGTGGATGGCAATGGGGGTGGAATTTTGTACTTTATTGTCCATGGGAATTAGAATTACAGCGTGAAGGATGAAGAATTAGAGTAGGGGACTTTTTGTGGTAACTGACGTTAAGTAGGGATTAAAAACAAAATTAGTCCTTAAAGTCTTGAGACAGAGGTCGTGAGTCTCTAGAATATTGCCGAAAGTACACCAGGTTCTGAGGTACCTCTTCATTGTGGAGGCCAGATAAGGGGTTGTCTTATCCAGAGCTTGTGGATCCCTGGGCTCCCTCTTCGCTTCTGTCCACAGAGGCCAGAGAAAATGAGTCTTGTGTGATTTTTCCTGTATTACTTAGTGTTCTGATAAACCTCATTCTTGCCGAGTGATTCAGTTATTTTCAGTTGCCAAAACAAACAATAAAGTATCTTATAAAGTGTATTTTCCTATCACCTTCTCAAGGAAAATAGGTGGAACTTTGAGCCTGCCAAATCTTCTCAATTCCGTAGTGTAAATACCAAAGTATTTTTGAGTGCAGAGTGTCATGCAAAGTTAGTGTCTCTGAGATCATAGCTTTAGAACATTTTCCCAGGTCCTTTGCTGTCCTACTGTTAATCACGTTTTTAAAGCTGGACAAAAGATTTAATTGATTAAGCATGAAAACCTCTCGTAAAGTACAAGTTCTAAAATAGATAAAGACTTCTTCACCCAATACTGAGTGTTTTAGGACAAGGCATAAATTTGTAGCATTAGAAAACCATCATAATCTAAAGGGAAGAACACAGCCTTTGGAGTCATAAATAACTGGGTTTAATTTTTGGCTTTGCCTCTAACCACATTATGTTCATTATGTTACACCATCTCTTTAAACCTTTATTTCCTCATCTGTGAAATATAGATGTGATGATTAAATTAAGGAGGCACTTACCATAAAATTATTAAAACAACATAATAGATACTGTAAAAAAGTCAAATGTAAATGCTGTGGGAACAGATTGAAGGGAAGCAGTTCATTTGACTGTGAGGTAAGAATGGGCAAGTGGACTGAGAAGACTACTAAGAGAAAGAGATTTAAATCATTAATGATGAGTTGGGGTTGATCAAGTACAGAAGCAAGGAAACCACACCAGAAAGAAGATCCTATGAAGGCAAATACCTAGAGGTATTAAAGTATATATCCTTTGCAGAAGTCTAAGTTAGCCCCTCTCCCAATGTGTTCCCAAAGTTTTCTTTACCCTGAATCTGTACCTGTTAGCCTGTACAATTTGCCTCTGTTCTCTACTAAGCCATAAACTCTTTTTGGACAAGTATCTAATTTATTTTGTTTATCATAGCTTGCGCGTTTTACACTAGGCACTCAATATAAGTATTCATTGAATGAATTAATTTAAACATTTTTCTTTTAATTTTTCAAAAGTACATTTTGAAGTGTTTGAATGCCACTTTATGAATTTAGATTTGGTCCTATAAAATGGAAACCTGTAATAGCCTCTAAACAGGGCAATTAATTTAAATAAAAAGCAACAGAAGACTGTCCAGGGTTCTAGCCTTAGCTGTGCCATTGACTAAATGACCGTACTTCTCCTCTTGAGATTGCTATTTTATTGTTTAACAGTGCTGATGATTTCTAAGTTTTTTTCCCAACTATACTACACAGAAATTGTGTGGTTCCTGCTGCCAGGTGTTATATATATTGGCCTTTGAGCGGAAAATAATGCTTGACACATGATATATGTTCCGTAAATATATATTCAATTAAAAATCCAAAGCATAAGTCAGGACTTCTCAATTGGAGAAATTAAACAGATTTTTAGAACCTTACCTCTTTGAGGTAAAAGATGAACATAGAGCTGTAGCTACTTTTGTTAACTGTTTGAAACACGGAGTATAATGTATCGTTCTGTTGATGTTTTGACAACCAAATGAAACGTTGCAGCAAAGGATGCAGAACTAGGTTTTCAAATGATAGATGAGGTTGAGTTTTATTCCAGGAGTCAATAAATAATTGAAAGACTTTTCATAAGTGACACATCTTTATCCTTTTTGCTGAGAATTTTTGGCATGAAACTTTTATTGGGTGATGTTCATATCGAGTTGATTCTAAGAAACTGTGGTGTGGGAAAATTGAGTTTTTAATAGGCTTCTGGTTTCTTACTATGTGAAGTATTTCCCAGCTCTAGAATTTATGCTTGCATTTATCTGTCTTGAATTTATCTCTGTTGGGTGTTAATGTGAAATTTTGTTTGTTAAAACTATGTTAGTATTTTAAATTTAAGCACCAATAATGCTAGGAAAAGCTTAGTTATTGTGCTTTCATAGTAACTAAGTGTGTTCAATTTCATTTATGTGTACAGCTTTAAAAATTAAAGGGTAGAAAACAGAAGTTTAGTACTTCATTATTTTTGGAGGCTAAGACAAGAGTTGCAACATATGCCAAAGAACTCACTATGGATAGGTAGTGTTATTCTGAAGGGAATATGTTTTATTTATTTTTTTGACATCTGAAATATCTTGGTCGTGAATAGCATGAAATTCCCTTATTATCTGGAATAAAAAGCCTAAACTGAAAGTAGTGACAGTCTTAGGAAAATTATTTGGAAGTATTTTTTTTTTTTTTAATTTTTCCGTGTATGTTTTGTGAGAATTAGAGCATAATTGAATATCTGGCATTCTATGTGAGTATCTTTATGGTTTTTGTTTTTCAGGCATTTTAAAAATATTTAATCATTCATGAGTTGAGCCTCATTCTTGAGTTATGGATGACAAAGCTTCTGTTGGAAAAATCAGTGTCTCCTCAGACTCAGTATCTACTCTTAACAGTGAAGATTTTGTCTTGGTTTCCAGGCAAGGAGATGAGACACCATCTACAAATAATGGAAGTGATGACGAGAAAACAGGACTCAAGGTAAGAGTCCATAACCTAAGTTCGTTTTGCTTAGTTTTGCTAAACCCATTGCAAAACTTGGCCTTAAAAGGAAAGAGATATGCGGGGAAAGTGAGAACATGGATATGATATATTGTTTTCTGTAATGTTAAAGAGTTTTGTATATACTTATTGAGAAATTTGTATTTGATCTTTGATTAGCTTTTCCTAAATCTTCCAGTACCCCTAAGTGTCAAAACTTGTGGTTATAGTATAAACATTTGTCATTTTAGTATTTTTTTCACTTTTCCACTGAATTAAAGATGCTTATTTCTTTTGGTCCTGGTGTATGTAACATAAGGGCACTGGCAGGTCAGCAATGCTATTTATAAACATAAGTTAGGCTTATTGAAACAGAGCTTTGAATACCTGGCCATTGACCACTTCTTTTTATCTTCTCTCAGCCAAATAAACAACTGTTAACTTCTTTTCCCATATTTTGTTACTGTGCTCTTTACGGATATAAATAAAAACAGATTATCAAAGTTGTAATTTAAAATATAAGTAATTTTAAAAATATTTCAGTTCCTGTTTACATGTGTTCATTCAACAAATGTTTGTTAAGTAATGACAATGTGCCAAGTACTGTTTTAGGTACTGGGGTACAGTGGTGAACAACACATGGCAAAGCCCCTGCCCTCTTAGTTTTAATTCTACTGGGAAAACAGACTCTAAGCAAATAAGAAAATAAGTATGTCAAGTAAATTTCGTTGCTGTGAAGAAAAGGCAGGACACGTGGATAAATAGTGAATGACATTGTGATTGTTCCTTGACCTTTAAAAAATTTTGTCAAAAGTTTGAAAACTCTTATTCTCACTCATAAGTGTACAGAGGAATAAATAAAAAACAGTAAAACTGGCTGGGTACTGTGGGTCACGCCTGTAATCCCAGCACTTTGGGAGGCCAAGGCAAAAGGATTGCTTAAGGCCAAGAGACTGAGACTAGCCAGGGCAACATAGTGAGCCCCCATCTCTACAAAAAATTTTTTTAAAATAGCTGGGCCTGGTGGTGGGCATCTGTAATCCTAGCTCCTTGGGAGGTTCAGGCAGGAGGATCACTTGATCCCAGGAGTTTGAGGTTTCAGTGAACTCTGATCATGCCACTACACTCCAGCCTGGGTGACACTATCTCAAGGTGAAAAAAACACAGTAAAAATAAAAAAGTAAATAAATAGTGAATGACAGGTGCTGTTTTAGAGAAGGTCTTGAGATGACATTTGAGGTAAGAGCCAAATGAAATGAGGAAGAAAGCCATGGAGAAATCTGGGGAAAGAGCATTTAGGAGGGAACAGTAAATACAAAGAGCCTGAGGAGCTTAACCCTTGTTAGGGCAGATATTTAAGAAGAGTGAAGAAAGTAAAAAGTAGTAAGGGATGAGATCAAGTGATGGGCAGGAGCTGGATCTTATACTTTGTGGAGCTAACCAGGAAACTTGGACCTTGAAAAAAAAAAAAAAAAAAGGAATGTTTGGAGAAGTTTGAGTGGGAACATGATCTAATTTACATTAAGAGCTCACTGCCTGAGAGGGACTTCCAGGCCGAGAACATGTCCTACTCCCAAGCAAAACTGGTGACAATTATTAAAACATTTAAGGTCTCTGGAAGTGTTCTGAAGGAAATATAGCAAATGAAGAAACATTTATTCAAGGAAATTTACTAAAATTTGGTAAGAGCAGCAAGAATCTGTTATTTGTACCAAGACCCACTCCTTCCTTCCCCTATCCCAACTGAGTGAGATGATAACTCTACTCCAGATTGGCACAGTCAAGTCAAGAAGACAAGACTCCCTCTCCCCCAGCTCCGAGTCTGGGCTATTGTCTGGGAGGGGAGAAGAACATAGCATTTCTCATCCTGCCTCCAGCTGCCTGTTGCTGGCTAAATGTGACTAAGAGGTAGGGGTTTCCCTTTTTCTGCCCACCCCCTGTTCTTGGGACAGAGGCTGTACTTTGGGCACAGCAACTAAAGCTGTAGTGTCACTCGATGAGAAGTGTGCCATTGTCCCCCTTCCGGGTCCAAAGCCGTGGCTCAGAGATTTTGCCTGTGGGGAAAAGCTGGCCATAAAACATAGCTCTGATCTCATCACAAAGGCATGGACTTCATTTACAACAAAGTGTAAAGAAGTTTAAGCCTTAAATTACTATCAGAAACAGTGGAGGTTGTGGTGAAAGGTAATTAGGTGATTGGTAGATTAATTGGACAGTTAAGCTTAGCTATAGACCTCCTAGTTTGCCTGAGGAAACCATGGAAAGACAGAAGTTGGGAAGAGACCATCAAGGATCAAAACAAATCTCAACCATTGACCTCTGGAACTTTCCCTTTAGAAAACCCCAGATTTGATTGCTTTAGTCTGTGGAGCAGTTTATAGTCCAGTGCATTGTTGAAATTAGTAGAGGAATCAGCCAACAGTTAGTGGCACTTAACAGCTGGGGATAGTCAGAGAAAAAGGGAGTCAGAGAACACCCTGCCAAAACCATTCTCATCACAGGATAACTGGGCAATTCCAAGTCTGAGCCCCCTGAGGAGCAACATCAGAGGCTTAACACTGGAATTTACTAAAATAACCTAGCTAGTCACTCAATAAACAAACTAAACATTAGCACAAGTTTTGAAGTGGGGAGACCAGTACCCAGAATTTGTACAACACATTATCTAAAATATCTAGTTTCTAACCAAAAATTGTGAGACATACAGGAAACCAAAAAAAAAAAAAAAAAAATGACCCATATACCCCACCCCCCGAAAAAGCAGGCAGCAGATACTGCTGTTGAGAGTGACCAGTTGGATTTGACACAGAATACCTTCAAAGTAGCTGTTATGAATATGTTTAACAAACTAAAAGAAATCATGCTTAAAGAAACAAGGGAAAATGTGATGACAATGTCACATCAAATAGAGAATAATAAGGAGATAGAAATTATTTTGAAAAACAAATGGAAATTCTGGAATTGCAAAGCATAATAACTAAAAGAAAAAACTCATGAGAGGGGCACAACTGTTCACTTCAACTGGCCAAAGAATTAATGAACTTGACAATAGATCAGTAGAAATTACCCAAAGAACATAAAAAAGAATGGAGAAAAATAAACAGAGCCTTAGAGAAATATAGAACACTATTAAGTGCACCAATATGCTCGTAATAGCATCAGAAGAAGAAGAGATAGAGAAATGACCAGAAAAAATATTCGAAGTAATAATGACTGAAAACATTTATTGAAAAACAATAATCTACATACCCAGGAAGTGTAAACTCCAAATAGAATAAATGAAGAGAGACCCGCAAAGAGACATATCTGGTAAAAAATGCTAAAAGCCAAAAACAAGGAAAAAATCTTGGGGAACAGCAAGAGATAAATGTCTTATTACTTACAAGCAAACCCCAGTAAGATTATGGCTAAGTTCTCAGCAAAAACAATGCAGGCAAGAAGCCGGTGGGATAACATTCAAAGTGTTCAAAGAAAAAAAAAACCAGTCAGCCAGCAATCCTATGTTCAGCAAAGCTATTCAAAACTGAAAGTGAAATAAAAACGTTCTGAGATATATAAAAACTGTGAGATAATTTGTTGCTAGCAGACCCACCTTACAAGAAATATTAATACTAAGGGAAGTTCTTCAGGCTTAAACTAAGTGACTCCAAACAATGATTTTTTTATTTGCCAATAACAGGAAAAAAGAGATAGGAACAGAGATGTATTTGGGCTAAGGAAATGACTCCACATGGTAACCCAAATTCTTAAGAACAAATGAAGAGAACCAGAATTAATAAATAAAGAGGTTAATATAACAAAAGCTATAAATATATATTTGCTTGCTTTTCTCAACTTCCTTAAATGTGCTTATAAAATTACACAAAGCAATAATTGTAACAATGTATTGTTGGACTTATAACATTTATAGATGTAATATGTATAACAATACCACAAAAGGGGAAAAGAAAATAGAGCCGTATATGAGTAATATTTCCATATCTCAATGGAATTAAGTTAGTATAAATCAGAAGCTGATTTGATAAATTAAGATGTACCTTGTAAGTTCCTAGAGCAAGGATATAAATAAAAATATATACATATGAAAAAAATCATTAAAAAATGTAAATGCGATATTAGAAAACATTTATTAAGTGCAAAAGAAAACGGTATAATAGGAATAGAGGAACAAAAAAGATAGGAGACACATAAAAAACAAGCAGTAAAATGGCAGACCTAAATACAATTATATCAATAATAACATCAGTCGTGAATAAATTAAGCAATGTAATCAAAAGGGCAGATACTGTCAGACTGGATTAAAAAACATCCAACTATATGTTATCTACAGGAGACATTTTAGATTTAAACATACAAATAGATTTAAAATAAAAGCATAGAAAAAGACATACTATGCAAAGAGCAGTCACAAAGCTGGAGTGGCTATTTTGATATTAGACAAAATAAACTTTAAAACAAAAAATGTTACTAGAAATAAAAAGGGACATTTTGCTTATTTATTTTTAAGACACAGGATCGTGCTCTGTCACCCAGGCTAGAGTGCAATGATGTGATCATAGCTCACTGCTGCCTTGAATTCCTGGACTCAATGAATCCTCCAGCTTTAGCCTCCCAAGTAGCTAGGACTACAGGCATGCGCCACCATTCCTGGCTGTTTTTTCTGTTTTTGTAAAGACGAGGTCTCGCTGTGTTGCCCAGGCTGGTCTTGAGCTCCTGACTCTAGTGATTCTCCTACCTTGGCCTCCCAAAGTGCTGGGATTACAGGCATGAGCCACAGTGCTTGACCTAAAAAGGGACATTTTGTATTCTTACAAGGGTCAATCCGTCCTGAAGATCTAACAATTGTGTACCTAATAACAGCACCAAATTGCAAGAAGCAAACACTGATGGAAATGAAGAGAGAAATAGACAATTCAACAATAATTGTTGAAGATTACTATACTCAGCTTTCCATAGTGGAAGGAAAACATAGGCAAATCAATAAGGAGACAGAAGTCTTG